CCAGTGAGACACACTTCCAGAGGGGTCCGGGGTCTCTCCAGTGAGACACACTTCCAGAGGGTTCCGGGGTCTCTCCAGTGAGACACACTTCCAGAGGGGTCCGGGGTCTCTCCAAGTGAGACACACTTCCAGAGGGGTCCGGGGTCCCTCCAGTGAGACACACTTCCAGAGGGGTCCAGGGTCTCTCCAGTGATACACACTTCCAGAGGGGTCCGGGGTCTCTCCAATGAGACACATTTCCAGAGGGTCCCAGAGTCTCTCCAGTGCAACATGCTTCCAGAGGATCCTGGAGTCTCTCCCGTGAGACACACTTCTAGAAGATCCTCGAGTCTCTCCAGTATAACAGGCTTCCAGAAGGTCCCAGGGTCTCTCCAGTGCAACACACTTCCAGAGGGTCTTGGAAACTCTTTGTGAGTCATCCTGCATCATCTCTTCAGAAGATCAGTGGACCTTAGGTCTAAAATGATCACTTCAAAAATTACTCCACTATTTGTATTTAAATAATTTCTCAGATATAGTTGCAGCTTTTATCTCTCTTCCTGCATCCTTAAGCATATCTGAATAAAATATGCTGAATGAACCTGGACCTCCATCTACTTCGCTGCTGACAGTTAACAGTCAGGAGAGAGCTGGCTGCCATGCTATCATCAGAGTGTTAAAATCCTAAGAGCTGACTTTTGTAGATTTCCATATAGTTTAGTAATTCTCCAGAAGGGCAGATTCTCTGGATCACGTGGGTAGTTTTAAAAATAACAGCAGAGGCTAGCATTTACTGAATACTTACAAAATGCCAAATAACTGACATACATTATCACTTGTAAGTAAGTTGCTCTGTGAGACCATATTTATTATCATCCCATTATACAAACAAGAAAACTACATCTTGGGGAAGTTAAGTCACCCAGAGACACAAAGCCAGCAATTTATAGAGTTAGGGCTGAATACTGTGTGTGTCTGACTGAAGTTATCCAGAGGGTGGATTGGCCAGGCCCAGGAGCCTCTGTGTTTGCACACTCTATGACACTTCAGAACTACCAGCAAACTCCTGTAAATAATAATGAGACACCCCAGCGATACAAATGGGACAAGCACTGCCCGTTTCCAAAATATACCAAACAAACAACCTATGCTCTCAGTGGCTGCTGATTTTCCAAAACAAGTACAGTCCTCTAAAACAAGTTTTAAAGGAAACAACACTCATAAGTAAAACTAGCCAAATTGTACTGACTGAATAATTTGGTTTTGACCAGCCCAAGAATAAGTATTTTTAAAAAGTAAATATTATGCAGATCACAGCAAA